CATACTATAACACCGCACTAAAAAAAAATCATAACAACTTAGCCCTCCCCCTATCATCATTCCCTTAAAATAAAACAATTTACAAACACCATCCAAAAAACACAACTTGACTCACGTTTAGGGGTGTGCGGTGGCGGTCTGGCCCTACCCGGTGGCTCTTTATGTTCATCTTTTTACATCAATTTAGGGAGAACAGCGTGCAGGGGTCGCTAAGGGCACCTGAGCCCAGGGGGAGAGGTCGGGGAAGAGGAGGGAGAAAGCGGTGGAGGGAGCGTGCGGACCGGCGGTGAGGGCTCAGGGAGGAAGTTGCGGTGCTTTCCATAAAAACCTAGGAGGGGCCTGGGGCGTGGCCAGTGGTTGAGCTCGGACCTACGAACCAGGAGGTCACGGTTCACACGCCCGGGTTGCTGCTCCTCCCCCCGGTGTGGGGCCTGCAGGAGGCAGCCGGTGGATGATGAGATAGATAGAGAGAGAGAGAGAGAGAGAGAGAGAGAGAGAGAGAGAGAGAGAGAAACATAAACATTAATCAATGATGAGAGAGAATCATCGATCGGTTGCCTCCTGCACGCCCCCTACCGGGGATGGAGCCGCAACCTGGGCATGTGCCCTTGACAGAATCGAACCCGGGACCCTTCAGTCCGCAGGCTGATTCTCTCTGCGCTGAGCCAAACCAGCCAGGACAAGATGTATTTTTTTTTTTTTTTTAATTTACAAGGATGGGATGAAAGGAGGATAAAAGATCCTCAATGCCCCAAAGTCCAGCCTCCCACACCCCTTTCATCCGGTTACTGTTAATAGCAATACTAGTATAACAAGCCATACTTAGAAACAGATAAAGAATGAATCACGTGACAAAATGATTCCATGGTCCCTTTGAGGCTCAGTGACTTTTAAACTTTGACCAACTCCACCCACAATAACACGTTTTACATCCCACCTATCGCACACACCCATATATATTAGTATATATATATATATATATATATATATATATATATATATCTGAAGCAAAAGCTTAACCAGACAACACATTTATCTTTACTACGTATATCACATATAATATACAATATGTGAATATATAATATGTATGTACTGTAATGTTTTTTATTCTCTCTCTCTTTTTTTTGCTGCTGGTTGGGATCTGCTAAATTGGTTTTATGAACTCCCCTCTACCCTCACCAATGAGTCTAATCAAAGTATATGATCCCAGATAATAAAGTATCTGAGGGAGAAACTTCAAGTAACTATTACGGATCAATGAGAAATTGAGATAATATAAACCTGCCCTAACCGGTTGTTCAGTGGATAGAACATTAGCCCTCGGACTGAAGGGTCATGGGTTCGATTCTGGTCAAGGGCACCATACTTCGGTTGCAGCTTCAGTTGCAGTGTGTTGGGAGGTAACCAATTATTTAAAAAAATATTTTTATTGATTTCAGAGAGGAAGGAAGAGGGAGACAGAGATAGAAACATCAATGATGAGAGAGAATCATTGATCAGCTGCCTCCTGCAGGCCCCACACTGGGGATCGAGCCCACAACCTGGGCATGTGCCCTGATCAGGAATCAAACCCTGACCTCCTGGTTCATGGGTTGATGTTCAACCACTGAGCTGCACTGGCCAGGCTAAAATGCTTTTATTTTTATTCGTTTTCATGTTATGGGATAGGAGATAAACTACTGAGGTCCATCCCTGCCAGACCTCAGGGATGGTGTGGTTGGAAGGGTGGGGAGACGCTGGGAGGCAAAGGTTGGGGTAATAACTTGGCTGCTCTAACTGGTGACCCTGGGACCCAGGGAAGGATGAGTCCTGAAATCAGGGGTTAGATGGAGAGGGCTGGACTCCTACTAGAGTTTACAGAGATCATTTATCCAGCCTCTTTGTAGAACAACCTGGGGAAGCTGAGGCTCAAACCTGCCTGAATGCGTTAGCTGGGACCTGGATGCTCTCAGGGCCCCTGGAGACCTGGGTGGGCACTCCTTCCCATTTGCTCCAGGAGCTTCCCATGAACTTCTCTTCCCACCAGCTGTGGCCACTGCGAGCAGGATGAGCCGTGCTCTGCAGACACAGGCAGCTGTAAGTCCTGCGAGCCGGGCTGGAACGGGACCCAGTGCCTCCAGCCCTGCCCACCTGGTACCTTCGGTGAGAGCTGTGGACAGCAGTGCCCCCGCTGCAGGCGTGGGGAGGCCTGCCAGCCAGACACTGGGCACTGTCCGAGCTGTGACCCTGGCTGGCTGGGGCCCAGGTAAGGGGCCAGCCTGCTCAGGATGGGGTGTACCTTCCTTCAGAATCCTCACCCCAGCTGCTCCCTCTGGGGTAGGCGTCCCCTCCCCAAACACACATTCACACAGCCCCCTGGGGCTCGCCACCTGGCAAAGCCTGAGGGGAGAGAGATGGATGCTGATGGGGCCTGGGCAGGGTTCTCTTCCAACTCCCTGCCACTCAGGCTGCCTGCCCTCTTCTCCCTCCAGGGACCTCTAGTCGGTCACCTATTGGCTTTGGCCCGGCTTCAAGGCCCTGTTTGTACCTGAGCTTCACTGCTGAGGACCCACAGTTGGGTCCCCGAGTCCAGAAGCATGGGGGACGATGGGTAGAGCCCCCTTTGGGGGCCGGGCCTGCCCTGTCCCCCATTTCAAGTCTTGCCTCACCTCAGGTGTGAAGACCCCTGCCCAAGTGGCACCTTTGGGGAGGGCTGTGGCTCCACCTGCCCCACCTGTGTTCAGGGGGCTTGTGATGCTGTGACTGGGGAGTGTGTCTGCAACGCTGGCTACTGGGGACCCAGGTGAGGACCGGGCCCTGGCAGAGAGGCGGGGGCCGAGGCCAGGCCTCCTTGCAAGCTGTTTCCTTAACTTCCCTTCTGGGCTTCTCCACCTTCCATATGCCCACCCAGCACCCTCAAAACTCCTGTTGTGGGGTCTGCGTCTTCCAAAGGAGGCTCAGAGTAATGCTTATGGAAAAGGCCTGGCTCCCGAGCTAGATGGGGAAGCTATTCAGGGGTAGGGCTCCAAACCCCACTTGTTTCCCTAAGGTCTTCAGGTAGTAAAACCTAATCCATGTCCATGTCTCCAGTGTCAGATTTACCACCTCTGGGACAGGATCTAGAATAACATGGAAGAGACCTCATTTTATAGCAGAGAGAACCAAGGCCCAGAGAGTCAGGGGCGGGGCTGGGCCTGGCTGGCTTCCAGACCCTGAGGATGTCTGATGCCATTGGCATCTTGCTTAGTTCATATTAGTGCTGGGTGGGTAAGGGATGAGGCTCATGAGAAGTGGACTCTGCCCGAGGGTTACGCCCTGGGGCTGGGGGCAAAGGACAGCGTGGGGGTAGTTTCCATGGAAGATGGGCTGAGGGGCTGAGGGATTCTCTCAGATGCTGTCAGGGGTACTGAGAATGTGGCTCTGAGGCAGAAGTCTGCCCAGGCATCATCTAGGCAAGTCTGATGGCAGGGGTGGGGAACAGTGCCCAGAAATCTACCTTCCCCTATGCCAGTGGTTCTCAACCTTCTGGCCCTTTAAATACAGTTCCTCATGTTGTGACCCCAACCATAAAATTATTTTCGTTGCTACTTCATCACTGTAATGTTGCTACTGTTATGAATCGTAATGTAAATATCTGATATGCAGGATGGTCTTAGGCGACCCCTGTGAAAGGGTCGTTCGACCGCCAAAGGGGTCGCGACCCACAGGTTGAGAACCGCTGCCCTATTCCCTGCCCACCTCCACCCCTTCGCACCCAGCCTCAGCTTGTCTCTCCTTGTCACCCACAGCTGCAACGTCTCATGCCCATCTGGCTTCCATGGAAACAACTGCTCTGCTCCCTGTGAATGCCCGGAGGGACCCTGCCACCCTGTCTCTGGGGCCTGCCAGCTGGGTAAGGTGGAAAGGAGAGTGCAGGGTACAGTCACCCGGGAAAGATCGGCCCTTTACATGGGCTCCATTTGCCAGGGAGTCTGAGTCCACATCAGAGACATTCCTTATGCCTGAAATCTGTATGGATGCTCTGGGGTCCCCTTAAGATGTGACAGAGTCCCTGTTCCCCGAGACACCAGGCCAGCACCCAGGAAATGAGCAGGTAGGGCTGGACGCTGGGATGTGCAGCAGGCATGAGAACTAGGGGCAAGGCTTGTGGAACAGACCATGGGCCAGCGGAAGGGGACAGGCCAGCGGGTGGCCTCCAGGCTGAGCAGAGTCTATGTCTCTCAGAAGAGACACCCACAGATGGAAGACTGTGGGGGAGGAGGCAACTCAGCT